CGCAGACTGCTTTGGAACTGCTTGTACGACCGTCTATGGAAGATTGACGATTGCGTAATGTGCCCCAATGACAAAAACGGAGATTGTGTGTGTTTCGACACAGTATGCCAGATCTCTTGGTCGACATGCGATAAGAAATACATTGGCGAAACGAGAAGACTTTAGATTCGCGTCAAAGAAAAACCTACAGCCAAATAAGTTTAGCCTTCAGGGACGCACCACCAAGAGCGAAAGCAAATGGACAAGAAAAGTTTCGTGTACGGATGATGTTCCCCAATGTTTCGCTTATAGTTTCAAGTACTAATTTAGCTACAGAATATTTTTAAGAAAACGATATATTTCGTCATTACTTCAATTAGGATTTCTGATTGAAGTATGTTCAAAATTTATTTTTAAAAAATTTGTCTTGTAATTAATTCCATAGAACAAAAGAAACATCGCAATCTCACTAAATAATGTCGACTAAGTCTTACCTATGAATACATTTGGTTTTTGCGGAGGAGCATCTGGCGCAGTCGCCAGAGGGGGGATACGATGCAGACGTGGTCAACTTTCATCCCTCAGAAGTTGGCGAATTGGTACCCTTTAGATCTGAGAGTTACCAGCGCTGAAATGATACATTGACAAGCCACTGCGAGTCTGTGTAGGACAAATATGCATGCAATCAGCTCTAACGTTGCTTGATGAAGTCCCTCACATGGCACATCCCTCAGGGCTTAATCAACGCCGAGAGGTCTATCTTCTCATTCTTCTTTGCCAAGGTTATGTGAATGCAAACAAACGTTGAGAATGAAACGACTGTAAATTGTCATCGTAGTGAAGCGGTTGCAAATGTGAGACTTGGAAGTTCAACGGGGCTATGATTTCATAATGTTGACGTATTACTCTTTCCCTAGCTCTTCTGACATCATTTGATGTGATGTTGATACTCTGGTTGTTCAGTGTTGCATCGATGAGCGAACGCGCGGTTGTTAACAGTAGATTTATTGAATACACTACCTAAGAATATTGGCCGTTGACATTTCGACGATTTCGCATTGTTCAGAGTTGGAAGACTCAAATTGGCTCACATCTACTTGGTTGATCACACCTTCAGCGCACCAGCAGAGGAGAGCTAAAGAAGAAATTTTTCATTTGAATGTTAAACAGCTTCTCCAGAGTTTTCTTTTGTTGTTGCTATTCGTCAGATTTATCAAGGCTTCCTGTGATGTTGGTTATCGTACATCAGAAATGCTCCATTATACTCTCTTATTACTTCATCACTTAATTTGATTAGCATTACAGCTTCTTCCTACTGTGCGCGTCCTAGTACTTTCTAGCATCCAATTCGTCTTTCGTCCTCTTCACGAATGTGGAAGAACGCTGGTCGAGCACGTCTCACTGCAATCCCGAGGATGACCAGGTTGAGGAGTTCCGTAGAGAGCTCTCTATTTTTGTTGGAGAGTGTTGAGATGCCGTGGGATCAACTTGATGTCAGCATAGCTACTTCGTCATAGCCTCCTTTTCTTATGCTATAGAGAGAAATCTTAATTTTCTTAAACCTATGGCATACATTCCTTTCATGTATTTCATTGCTTCAAGGATATTGAACCGAAAATGTAAGCAAATGAACAAGCAGAGTGTCATCTACCGCAAGCACGTGTGGTGTTTCCCAATATACAGCTTACATGCTGTTGCCTGCTGTTCTGGCAAATTTCAGCTGGATGATGTTGTCTTGAGTTGAGGTAACAGTCCTTTTACCATAGACAGACTACGATATAACGGAACTTGACGAGGAATTACTTCATAGCAATGGAATCGTGTCACCACAATGCCAAAGGCGTACGAACTGAACAACCTTGTCACTCATCTGTTATGATGAGCATCACGTTACTCAGAATCACAGCAGACTCAAAGGCTTTTATGGGATACTGTTGAATTTTTAGCTGAGAGATCGGTGCTGAGGTGGACTAAAATTTGATTTTGTAATTAGAAAGTTAGAGGTATTACTTCATCACTACCGTGAACACTGTCTTTCGATTTAAACTCTCAGTACGAAGCTGTTGCTTCGCAGTTTCTTGTTAAATACTCGCTGTGAGGGAAACATAGATATGAGAACGTGGTCTGCTCATAGATGAGACTGCTCTGTCAATTTGTGAGTGAGCCTGATTTTCAAAGCCTGTTATTAGATTGTTTTGAAAGGGCAGCCGTAAACATCAAAACCCATACGATCACATAATCATGTTGAGGTGGACGAGGTAGCCTTTTGCCAACTGTCTCAACTATTTTTGCAAATAGGACTATCGACGAGCGACAAAATTCTTAGGTCTTCTCATAAGTTCTGGCACTAGAGCAATAAAACATAACTCGCCTAACAACACTATTCAAAGTATGCGCCATCAGCCTGAACACATTTGTGCCATCTCTTAGGCAACAAATTTGTGGGACACCTGGACCGCTACAATCGAGCCCTGTCACGTCGACGTCGCCGCAATCTCATCCTGCTTCAAGACAACGCAAGGCTGTATGTCGCAATGTTGTCTCATTGCTTCGCACGCAAGTCACAAAGAACCGAAAACGCCGTTCGCCTGGACACAAATTTTGAACCTTTGCACGGCTGATGTTCTCGGAGGCGGTCTGTGCATCGACGATCCCAATTCGTGCTCGTAAAGCACCAAATGGCGATAAAGGCTTCGTTGAGCGGCCTTGATGGGGTAAGTATGGACAGATGTGATAGCAAAAAAGAAAGCTCAGAAAATTTTGCACAAAGCGGCATTGATTTGCTGTTTGAGAGATGGCAGAAATTATGTTCAGGCTGATGGTGTATACTTTGAATAGCGTTGTTGAGCACTTTTCTTTACTTCTGGTCAATAAATTTAATGCTTATTGCTCTAGTAAAAAAACTCAGGACAAGGTCTAATAAAAAAAACTAGCGCCATTATCAGATAATCACCAACCTCATTACCTGATTACTCTTAAGTTAAAAGCGTTCCAGAAAAAGCTAGTGATAGTGAACGAGCGATGACTAAGAAACAAAAGAGCGCCGATGACAAAGAAACAAAGCTGCACATCTCCCGGTTCACCCCTGACCTACAGCAGTAATACGAGCAACTGAGCACAACGTGGTACGTGATTCCGGCGGATGTAATTAATTCGCTGAAGTCGCACCGTATCTTATAGGCTGGTTTACATATCAAAGTGGCAATTAAGTTTTGTTGCACCAAAAAATTTCTAACAAAACAATTTATAAAACGTTGACAAACGAAGATTTTGAACAAATTGTCACTATTGACCCAATGATGCTTTGCTAAATCTCTGGTATTTTTTCAACGTCTTGACGATAGAGTCGTGGCATTTTTGAAGCAAAATACAAACAGTGCCTTTCACATGGCAATGCGTTTTCCCATAAAGGAATGATGAAGGGATCTTAAAAGTTGGAAATTACTTGTAGCAGCATCTAGGCTATACGATGGACGGATTAAACTTTCCCACTCTAATTCCTCAATCTTTTGCAATGGAAGAGACGTTTACGAACCTCATATTTTGAAGTATTTACTCTAAAGTAAAAGCAAAATTTATAAGGTTGCAAAACAAAGAATAGTTTGCGTATTTAGAATCTCGAAAGCACGAGCTTCCAAATGACTTGGAAGATAAGTCAGAACAAGAAGTGAATTTGTTGTGAATAAATAAAATAACAAAAAAAAACGACAAAACTTAGTTGCCAACCTAACAGATATCGCTATCAATGTAAACATGACAATTACGACCTTGTTGACCTTGTTATTCAGTGGTGTACGATTCTCATTACCCAATGTAAGTGCCCATGACAGGACACATGCGTGGCTAAAAAATAACAGTCAGGCAAATCTCATCACTCTATTTACCACTTCATTTGACTCTTGTCGCGGTTTTCTTTTACTGTTTGGATCCCAGAGCATCTAGTATTCGATTCACCTCCTCAGGTATATCGCTTGCTTGAGGATTTATCCTCTTCACGAACGTCGTAAAATACTCGTCGAGTATATCTCGTTGCAACCTCAAAGATAGCCAGGGCATCGGAGAGTGGTGAGGAAGGACCAGTAGCGTCATTAGCCGCTCGGCCACCAGTGAGATTCACATATCTGCTGTGAATGCCCAACTACGCTAATAACAATGTGGATCACTTGCACAACTACTTAAAGATGGTATGTAGTAAAAGTCCGTACTTGTCATAAAGGCAAAATAGGATAAAGCTCTTGGCGTTGATCAATCCCTGAGGCATGGCGACATGCGTTCTCTTCAATTGTTAACTTCGTTTGAGATGATTAAATGCATATCTGGCCATCACAACAACTCGTGAAGGCCCTACCGTTGTGTCGAAGCAGTGCTGCTTATTGCCCTGGACAAGTCTGGTACAATTTACCCAACTCGGAGAGACAGATGGCTTTTTGAGCCATGAGCGCAAGATTGAACCATCGACTTCGTGTGCGACTCATTGCACCTCTAAACAATGAGCCACATTCGCTCGTAAAAATCTCTGGATTGCGAAGTGACATTCAAGTATATAACAACGAACGTTCAACAATATGCAGAACTTTGAACCTCGGGCGGGGTTGAACCCATCCATGTCTCACTCTTTCCAAGGGGCGTGTGTGATACGCGAGTTCAGTTCCGCCTGAGGTTCAAAGTTTTGCAAGTCACTCAACATTCCTGGATATATTTATAGCATCATAACACTGCTGTTAAAGCACTAAAACATGGAATCAATGCGAACTTATAAGCATTTTTATTGCTTATGATTACAAGGAAGTATGCAAAACACTTGACTCCGGTAGGAAGTAGAGCCTTCGTCTCACTTATACCGGAGGCCTGCTACCACTACACCACCAAGGCCACGGTTTTCCTACCACTATTTTTCGATATACACATCATAGCTGGTGTCTGTTGTTAAATACTAAAGATTTACAATATTTTCACCGTTTTTTCGCAGTGTTATGATGTTTCGGCTGTACCTAAGAGAATTGAGTGGTGAACAAAAACTCAACCTCGCGCGGGAGTCGAACCCGAATCTCACCCATATCGGGCGCGTGTGCTACCACTACACCACCGAGACACCGTTTCAATTCTTCATTGCTGATAAAGAGTCTATTAACAATCATGTGTCATCTGAACACGTAATTTACGGATTTATTCAACCATTGCCGAGGTTAAGCAACACTCGGGCCTGGGAACTTTGCCACTTCCACATTTTGGCTGCTTTTACATTTCACTTCTACATTTACATTTCTTTGTACCAAGTTGCCGACCACAAAGGAGAGTAGGGCGGAGGGAATCGAACTAGGAGATCGCTTCCTGATAGACCGCATTACTAGGCACTGCACCATCTCGCTCCGTGCAAAGGTGTACGGTAAAAGTAAAGCGACCGTAAATTCTCGTCGGTGCAGTGGCGGTTGCGCGCGGGAAATTTCAAACTTCAATGAGATTCAATTTCACGTTGCTAAAAAACTATTCTTTTCTTCCTTTTTCGGAGTTTATTGATTTATTCTGTCGCTTTTATCTGTCATTCAGTGTTTCATTGATGAGCAGACGAGGGTCATTAGCACTAAAATCTATTGAATCTACTGGCTGATGACGTTTCAGCGCGGTTTCGCCCTCTTCGGAACCTCGGAAACGTCTCAGATCAGCTCAGATTGTATAGAATTTTCTTTATTTTAACGCTCGGTGGTATGATGTCAGAGAAACACCCAATGATGTAAAGTAATGAGCAAAAATTTGCGTCAGCCGGGATTCAAACCCGTATCTCACTCTGTGCGGGAGCGCGCACTCTGGCGCCGTTGCGCTACACAGATTGTGCTTAGCTAAACAGTTTCGTAATTAGGTAGAAAGGCATAATGGGAAAATTTTCAGTTTTTGTAAAGTTATTAGCTTTTTTAGAGGTTTTTTTGTTGTTGTTGCAACTCGTTTAGGATTCTTAAGTGTTCCTTCAGATGATTATTTAATCAGCGAAGGCTGCAAAGTGTGTGTTTGATCTACAATTATGACTCCGCCGTTTTTTCTCTGTAATAATAGTAAAGATAGAAATATGCAAGCTCTTTTGTTTGTTTGACAAGTGCGGTAAAAAACGCTATTTATTTGAATGATCAACTGGAATATTGTAATACACCCAATAATGTGGAATGCTGTGCAAAAACATTTGCGTCAGCCGGGATTCGAACCCAGATCTCACTCTTTCCGGGAGCGTATGCTGACCGTTGCCAAAAGTCCACCGATGGGAGCGTCCAGTAAAGCGCCGGTGGTGCAACGGTTAGGATACGCTCCGGGAAAGAATGAGATCTGGGTTCGAATCCCGGCTGACGCAGTTTTTGCACAGCATTCCACATTATTGGGTATATTACAAGATCACACCACCGCAACAAGCGGTCAAATAAATGAACTCCGATAGAATCTTTTTACTTCACAAATTTTAGCGGTGGGTATCATATGAATATAGCCAGTGATGTAGAGTGACGTACAAAACTTTTGCGTCAGGCGGGACTCCAACCTGCATTTCACCCTATCCAAGAGTGCGTACTCTACCCCGTTGCACTACCGAGCCCGTTTTACCATCACTCTTTCTACGCCGCAACGCATCAATCTGTCAGCAACCAACCGTCAACGGTTTGGCCTAGGTAATCGGTATCGAAATTGGACCTAGTCACGCTGACAGATATTGGGTATTAATGATCGATTCTTTCTGATTATAAGGGGTCAAATGAAAATCAACCTCATCGGCTGAAGAGGGACTTTTCCTAGGAGTGTTGGTAGCCATTTGAAAGCTGAAACTTCAGGCCACAGCCCCACGTCGTCGGTTTTTCGAAACACCCTTTTATAACGCTGTAAAATACGCAGAAAGCTATGTCTCAGACGCGCATATTTCTCAGCGGACAAGGCTATTTCTTCGGACTATTAGTAAGCATTCGATAGCGCAGTCGCTTCTGATTTCAACGCTGTGCTTATATCCTGAAAAGACCGTTTCACCGAAACGTAGCAGGTGAAGTAGGTTGAATTCCCATCTGCGACCAAGGTGGACTTTGGCCAATTCACGTGTGGCTGGCTGAGGCAGTCACGTGACCGGTGCAAGGTCTGTTCGTCTGACCCTGTAGTCAGAGAGAACCTGATGATCAAAGAGAATTCCTATTGTTTGACCACTTTTACATAGATGCGTTTTGGCGTAGAAAAAGTAAGAAGGAACACGGACGTCAGTAGTGCAATGGGTTAGGGCACGCCCCTTCCTGGATAGAGTGAGGTACGTTTGCGTCCTGCCCGACGCGAAAGTTTTGCACATCACTCTGTAGCACTGGCTATATCCATAACATCATACCGCCGCTGACTTTATTTTTGTTTGAAAGTGCGTTCTAAACGCTATTTATTTGTTTTTTGTATACAAAATATTTCAAATGATGGTTTTTGTAGGACTTTGAAAATAACGATCTTTGTGTCCGAAAAACGCCATTTGGGGGAATTTTACTTTGCAGATTTATTGACCAAAATAGGTCAAATTGCTTGTAATAGCTCAAAAGTCCGACTCTTCTTAACCTCGGCATAAGTAAAGAAATGGAAATTTGTTGCGAAATTTTTTTCTTCAACCCGCCGGCTGACTTCTGTGGACCCATGGGCGTGTCCAACGACTCCAACTCCTATCCGGTAAGGATGCCGACTCTCTGTTGCAGGACCTGCAGCTAAGTTTTGGAAAGATTCGCGTGCGGTCTGCGCCGACGTATTGGCTGGTGTTTCTTGATGATGTCATGTGTACAAATGTGGTGTCAACATCAAGAAACAGCACTCAATACGCCGGCGCAAAATGCATGCGAATCATTCCAAAACTTAGCTTTAGGTCCTGCAGCAGAGAGTTGCTTTAGTCGGCGTCCACTCAGGGAGAAGGTGGCAGAGTCGTTGGACACGCCCCTGGGTCCACGGAAGTCGACCGGTTAAAGTTGCAGTAGATTGGTACCACTATTTTCTCAAAATTTGATGGCTAACGTGTCGCCGACATCGCTTCGTCAGAGCCTAGACGTTCATATCATACCATATCTGATTACTCGGTTGAGATTTCGTATGCATCAAGAATCTAATAGAAACGAGTTCAATAGTCTAACCTTTTCGAGAAACTCCACTTTATTTATACTTACATAAGGGGGGGGGGGACGGGGGGAAGAGGAGGGTTTAGGTGTTCTTGGATGCGGATGCAAGGTAGTCTTTCCATTTGCCCAATGTATTCCTCACCACATGTCGTGCAAGAGTTGTGGAATATTGTACCCGAACTCATTCAGTCTCCGAGTTAGCCCACTGGGGGATTCTACGCAATTGTCAGTCTTAGACAGACGGTAGGGCGAGCGGCTCCGAACCAGCTGGCGACGTAAGTTAGTAGGTGGGATTTCTATGATTCTTACCGATCTCCACGCCAATGTTTTTAAACAGCGCTTCAAAGAAATCGTCCGTCTGGGTTTGGACCAACCTTGGTTTCGTTATCTATGTTATGGCACCTACCTCTCCTTATTGACCCAACTTCAGTGATTGCTCATACGTATAGCCATTTGAAATGGCTAGCCGTCGAGCCAAACGTAGTGACTCCTTTCTCCTTCTCCTCTCTACCCGTACAAGCAGTCACACCTGTTCGGTACATGTCTCGAACAAGTGCTCTTTTGGTATATGGGGGGGGGGGGGGGGTAGGGTTTGGCAGAGACGAAGACTGAGTCAGTTCGGATACAATATACCAAATGTTTTGCACGATGAGCGGTGAAGAATACATCGAAACGGGAAAACCACTTTGGATTCGCATCAGAGAACACCTAGGCGGGAAAGCCAGCAACCAAACAAGTGAGCTTTTAGGGGCGCACAGAGTAGGAAAGCACAGTGACGCGGACTTTGATGTGGTAGCAAGAATCCTGGGGCAAGAATCAAAAACATCGGCCGAAAAACCCTCGAAGCCTTTTGGGTAGACCGCAAAAGACCAGAACTGAATAGGAGGGGAGAATGTCTTAAGATTATGAGTGATATGGCACTTTATCTCGAGTTCATCTTCCAGTCTGGCATGGTTCATTTCTCAAAGTGCGCCTCATAAGATCGGTGATCTACTCCACATTACTAGAAATAAGCTGGGATTTTTCAGAATGACTAAACGCTTAGATTGTTTCCTAGTGAATTCTCGATGCACACGAAATATTAACAGAGTAAACAGATATGGTATGATGTATACGTCTAGGCTCTGACGAAGGCATTGCTGCCGAAACGCTAACATCAAGTATTCAGAAAGGAGAATTACTAGCCTCGTCCAAGTTCAGTTGAAGAAAGGGTCAGCTTGGTCTATATTGCTCGATTTTACAGTCGTTAAATTGCGCATATTCTTACGAATGTTTTGGTATACAACTCGCCTATACTTACTTTAAGATGGAACTATAGTTGGAACAGATTTGCTTGCTACTCATGCACGAATGGCGCGTAGGGAACGACACTTGCGAAGCGGCGCGCAAGATTAATGGAGCTTGAAGCGAGCTCCATCTTTAAGCAATCATAGGCAAGTTGTATACCAAAATATTCGCAAGAAAATGCGCAATTGAATGATATCGAAGTCATGCAGTTTCATCGCAAAAATCGTATTTAAAAGATAAATAAAACGGCACGATCTTTGCAATCTTGCTGCATGATAGCGCTCGACTTCGTGTTGCAAACGCCGATCGGAAGCGTCATAAAAGAGCTGAGGTGGGAGGTTTTAGGAGGTTTTGCCTTATTCCATCCTACTCTCCCGACATTGCGCCGTCATGTCACACCACGTGAAATTACCTAATTTAAATTAGAAATTACTAAATTTATGGCATTTTGCGGATGCAAAAATCGTATTTTTTAGAGTCCTATGAAAGCCATTGTATAAAATATTCTGTATATAAAAGACGTATAAATGGACAGCGTTTTTGGACGCATTCTGAAACAAAAAGGATTTTACGTATCTTTATCTTTACTATCATTTCACAAAAATGAAGGGAGGAGTCATAGTTGTACACTTAATACAATCTATGAGAGAGAAAGCTCTACTGATCGCGGCACAGTCACACTCAAATAACCAGTCGACTTCCGCGG